CTTGTACGTGAGGGTGAAAGCAGCTCAGACAGTGATCTCGGAGCTTGTTGCAAGTCCCAACTTCAAAGGAGACTGGGTGTCAGGGTAGATGCAGACTCCCAACAAACTGGAGAGGTGCACACACTTGGAGCCAGAAGGACAGCCTCCCAAGATGCAGGCCAGGGCGCAGTACTTGTCGCCGGAGCTGCTATCCTGCAGAATGCACATGGGATGCGCAGTGGTTCCGGTTGGCACGTCGGTAGGGCAAGAGCCGCTGTCGCAGTGGGGAGCGCAAACGCTGCCACCAGCTCCCTCCACTTCGGCCTGGACCTCGCCGCTTTGGCAAGGAGGCTTCTCATAGTGACTCTTGCTGGGAGTAGGAGGCGAAGGAGGAGATGGAGGGGAAGGAGGAGATGGAGATGGTCCAGAACCAGACACCACTGGGTAGGAGGCCTGAGCCTTGATTCCGCACTCACCAGGGCCAGGCTTGCCACGCTCAAGCTTCACGAAACCCTAAGTGGCTCCCCAGCTGTTCTTCACCAGCCAGTAGTCAGTGCCATCCTCTGTGCCGTACCCAACCACCAAAACACCGTGATCAAGCTTGGTGCCGCAGGTCTTGGTCAGGACACCGCTCTTGTAGGGCTGGAAAGCCATTTGATCTGCCTCAATGGCCACTGAAACTGGTTGCTTTGCCACAGCATCCATGAGAGCATTCTCATCATCCACCTTCACATCAACATAGCTCTTCACACCATGTGCAGGGATTCCCACAGTGCAACCCGAGGCCTTGCAAATGCCGTTCTTGGCCGTGTAAGGGTAGCTCTCTTCAGTGCAGACTGCTGCCTGCTCCTCATACTTGAAGCCATTGTCCATGAGACCACCACTGCAGCCCTGATTGCCAAACTTCTTGGAGCAGTCAACAAGCTGCTGCTCAGAAAGAGACACCAGCTTGCCAGTGGCGATGGCCCATGCACCCTCCAATGCTCCGGTGGTGCTGAATGCCCAGCCTTCGCACTGCGAAGGGAAATGCAACAGAAGGATGCATTCAAATCCAGAGAAAACAAAACAAACCGAGCAACAACTGATTCAACTGATTCAGTTTCGCTCTTGACAATAGAGACCAAACAGGTTGTGGAAGTGCAAAAGAATACATTAAACCCAAGAACCAGCCCCACTGCATTGTGACAAAAAAAAAAATCACATAAAACAAAATCTTATAAAATCTTGTCTAAGACTGCCAAACATGGCACAAGATCCACACTGCTGCTGGTTCTTCACGGGTGTAACTGCCTTGCTCCTCCAATCCACGGACTTTGGCAAGGTAGAGTTGCTGACCTTGTGCATGCCACCACTGGGGATGTTGCCCCAAACTGACTCAGACTCAGATGGCAGCCTCATGCCAAGCTTGCTCATCTTGAACTCGTCCATGGACATGTCAGAGAACTCGTTGAGTCCCAGCTTGTATGAATGACCCTGCGCATTCTCACGCTCAATGTACTCGTAGTTCTCAGCGAATGCCACGAAGCGAGCCTTAACAATCACATTGATCTCTTAACAAACATGAAAATCTAGAACACATGAGACTGCTTCCAGCCAAGAGATGTTTCATAGCATTCACAACCAGCACATGTTACATGTTTTACCAAAGGCGCCAGCGGTTTGAACATGTTTGAACCGACAAACACAAAACCTCACTCAACAGCCACGATGTGCAGCAGGGAACCTGCTTCTCCACTTCATCATAGTGCTTCCCGAAGTCTTTCAAGAACTGCTCGTAAGCGTTCTGGACATCTGCTCGGGGCTTCTGAGCATAGGCGAAAGCCAAAGCACCCAGGGCAAGTTTCAAAGTCTTGACCATGGCACAAAACTCTTCAGATGGAAGATGCGCGAAAGACTAAAAGCTCCTCGAAGATCTCTTGGCTCTGGCACAAACATACATTGGTCTCCATATGCAACTACAATACAAACATCCATCAAAGGCTGAATTAGCTGTGTGTCAGTGCCAAACATGACTGCTGACATGCACTCCGATGCACTTCGTTTACACCGGTACTGCTGCTCAGCCTTTTTGCAATCTCGAATCTTGCTCAAGCAGCAGAGAAACGAGAAAACAAGTCAGAAGGGATTTGTCAGGCTGTCACACTTGTACGTGAGGGTGAAAGCAGCTCAGACAGTGATCTCGGAGCTTGTTGCAAGTCCCAACTTCAAAGGAGACTGGGTGTCAGGGTAGATGCAGACTCCCAACAAACTGGAGAGGTGCACACACTTGGAGCCAGAAGGACAGCCTCCCAAGATGCAGGCCAGGGCGCAGTACTTGTCGCCGGAGCTGCTATCCTGCAGAATGCACATGGGATGCGCAGTGGTTCCGGTTGGCACGTCGGTAGGGCAAGAGCCGCTGTCGCAGTGGGGAGCGCAAACGCTGCCACCAGCTCCCTCCACTTCGGCCTGGACCTCG